TATTTAGTAAAAGTACTAAATTTGCAGAAAATTCTAGTGACATTGAGTGAAGGAGCAATAGTTTGTTATTCTGGTTCTAATGTGTAGGGTGAATGCGGCAGTGCCAACTTGTGGGAAAATTCTGCCCAATTATAATGAGATTCATAGGTGGTGATTCAGTTTTTAAAATTTGATTCTTCAGGCTAGATTGCCTTGTAATGCCATGGAGAGAATTTTTGAGATTCCAAGGATAATTTTATAAGAAATTCAAACCTAAGTATTGCTTTTTGTTGTGTTGGGGTTTTTTAAATAACTTAGTCATATTCAGCACAACTCCTTTTAAAGGTTTTCTCCTATTATTGGTTTGGTTTTTTCTTAATTGCAGTCCTGCTTGTTCTTTCCTTAACCTCCATTTCTTCTTTCTTTTCCAGTGATTCTGTTCTTAAGTTCCCTTTGTTCAGCAAGTTTAACTCCTATATTGCCTCCTGGCAGTTTGTCATATTGTTCTGATAACGTTTGCTGAATGAGGAGCTATGGCATAGCTCATCTTGACGCTGTTGCCACTGGTTTTTAGAGCAGGCATCTGTATGTTTGTGCAGCAAAGGGTACTCATGGTTACCTCTCCTGGGCTAAAGAGTCAAATAAATGTGTCCTGCATCAGTTTTGTCCAGTTCACATTGGGAAGTTTCATTCTACAGCTGGTATTCACGTGAATCTAAAGATCAAAAGCTGATATAATTGTAATGTATCTTAATTTCAGTGAATCTTGCAAGACCCTTTCGTGCTTGTAAGTATTCAGAATTTCATTCACCTTGTTTGAAAGCCTGGATCAATCCAACTGATATTAAATAAATTAATGCGAAAAAAATTCATATCTGGGCTGAGACTTTTAGTGAGAAATACATTTATCTCTTTGCAGGCAAACCTTGTGATTTGCCACACATAGAAAATGGAAAGATGGCCGAGTACTATTATAATTTCAAAAGTTACTATTTCCCTATGCGTAAGGAAAAAAAACTTTCTTACTCTTGTATGGTTGGTTATACAACTGAAACTGGGACTCAAGGTGGAAGAATAACGTGTACAGAAAAAGGATGGTCTCCAGTGCCACGGTGCTACAGTGAGTTAGCTTCATTTATCCCATCATTGCTTCTAGCAGGAAATTTTTCTAACTGGATTTCCTTGAACATAGAGGAACAGAAGCTGCATAGCAAGAGGGATAAAATGTATGGGTAAGGACAACTAGGTGAAATCAATCCTTTATGTATGCAAACTGCATATGTTTACATATGTACTGTTTTTATGGTAATACATATTTTAAGGGCAAACCCCATATATGTTTCTATAAGAACACCAAGAAAGTTGCCCAGCTCCCTTGTTTTGAGAAAACTAGTAAGTTTCCCCCCAGATGTATATCCTTTAGAGCCTCCCTAGCTCTAAGTTCCTTGGTTGTCATGTTCCATGCTATTAACATCAGTTTGATGTATTGTTTGATGATTGGGGTAGAGTTTCTTCAATATGTCAAGAAAACCGGATTAGATCAGACTAGCTAAAACCCCCCTTCTTCTGTTAGAGAACAAAACTATTCCATTAATTCTTTCTTTCTAACCAAGCTGTCTCCTTTCATTTAGAAAAATGTAACAAGCCTCTTTTGGAAAATGGCTTTTTTTATGGTGCAGAAATGTACTTCAAAATACACGAGGAACTGCAATACAGATGTAATCCAGGCTACTACACTCCAAGCGGTGGTACTGAAGATACAGTACAATGTCGGCCAGAAGGATGGTCCTTCCAGCCAAGCTGTACTAAAAAACTTGGTAGGATTCTGCATTTTTCTCCTTTATAACCTGCTTTATATGTATACAATTCTGCAGTCCTTGCGGTACCTGTAGGGCCAAACTGCCTATGTCAGGTTATCATCTGAGTACTCCTAAAGCAGGTTCTCAGCTGTACCTCATGGGAAGAAGTTGTCAGATTTCTCGTGCTGCTAGTTTAGTGAATTTGTATAGATAAAAACTAAACGTGGAAGGAATCAAGATAGATGAAACTGCATTATTTCAAATAAATCCGTTGCCGTCCAAACTTTCTTCCCAAATGACAGCTAGAAAACCTGTGTAAACTACTGCATTTTTAATTATACATTATTGGCAAAAATCTTTGCCTTGGATATAACCATTTTAAGCTGTTTCTAAGGAAAATTTTAGATTAATAACTTGAAATGAAAAGAGCAATTAATATTATGCACATTATTTATTTAAGAGTCATGTCAAGTACCCGATTTACATCACGGCAGCTACTTCACAGCCCAACGAGAGCTTCAACTGAATGAAAAGCTGCTGTACAAATGTGATGAGGGTTATCATACTGCAGGAGGAAACACTACAGAAGAAGCAGTGTGCCTAACACATGGGTGGTCCCTTACTCCAAATTGCACAAGTATGTAATGGGCTGGAAAATAATTCTGTTTGAAATATGATTTATTCTACAAATGAGCAAAAACTTACAAAAAGGCTTGTCTTATAAGCTATTGGGGGGAGAGAGGGGACTCTTCCTCAACTGGTTTTTGCTGCTGTGTGTTCTTCCTAGAAGTGACTTGTTCCTCTTTGAGTGCAATAGCACATGGAGGTTTCCATCCTGTGAAGAAAACCTATGAAGAGGGAGATGTAGTTCACTTTTTCTGTGAGGAAAATTATTCCATCAGTGAATTTGACCTAAGTCAATGTTATTATTTCGGATGGCATCCGGACCCTCCAGTGTGTGAAGGTATCTTATTTTTATTGCTTTACCATGTCAAATTCTTAGTGAAAGACTAGCACCTTTTTTCATGAAGTGCTTTATGAATACAAAATGAAAATATGCTTTTTGTACCAGTTCACAGCCTAAATAAAAAATCAAGTGTTAGCTGAAAGGCATGGAGCCAAGGTAGCAGGGAGGGAGGCAATGATAACTGGAGTTAGTTTTCAGTGGACTCTAAGAGTAGAGCAGACTGTGTCTCTTGCTGACGTTGTATCCTGAAGAAGCAGGAACCAACAATTACAGGGAAGGTCAGCCCCTGAAGCTCAAGTTAAACCATGTTCAAATTACATGAAGGTTTAATCAAGCATGCCTTGTGAAGTGGAAACATGCCTCTTGACA